CCTTTAGGAATATTACTACACCAGGAGCAGAGCTCTATAAAGAAAAATGATTCTAAGGATACTGAAGCCTCTTCACACAGAGCACTCCACAAAATTTTTCAATGCATCCTCAAAATCAGCTAAATTAATCATACTTCTCGCAACTGCAGAAAATGTCCTTCTTTCTCAAGTGCTGCAAGGGAATCTTGTGCCTGGAAACCACTCATACTGTTCAAACATTTTTTCCTAATCATCGTTTTCTGCCACTAAAACATACTGGACCGCAACCAATTTTTGCACGTCTTCATCCAGCTGAGTTGGATGCAAGCCATACGGTCAGTGTAGCTTCATAGCAAATTCCTTATGGGAAGCAGACTCTGGATCAATGTATGCCAGTGCTGCTCACCCAGTTAAACAGGGTACCGGGTCCAGGCTCGCACAGCGTACACACACCACACAGCTTCTGCCTTCACGTTTGCTTCTCACTGCTGCTACGGCAGCGGGTCTGTGGCAGACACTTCCTCCAAGGTTCAACTGAACACCTGCCTCATTGCTTTTTATCCGCAGCCTGCGATGCCACCCTTGGTCTGTAACAGGGTAAATAATTTAAAAACAAGAATATTTCACGATTTAAGTGATCTGAGCATTCAAATCAAATAATATATTTTATTAACTGCAAATTAGTTTCATCAAAAGAGCTCTAGAGTAGAACTTATCAGAAAAATGCATCTCCACCCAGAAAGAAAGACTTTGTAGAGGACTGGACTGACAGAGCTCTCTCAGGCAGGTTTCTGAATGGCTTCCAGTCAAATCAAAGCCATCTACCTCTGTGTGCGGCAGTGTTTCATTCAGATGAGGGACTGAGGCAGACCCCGGCTACCAGGCTGCCAGTGGGGGCTGTCCTTGCTCAATGGCAGCTTCCTGAAGTCCTGGCTGTGCTCCTCACTGGAACAGGCAAGCGCTGAAACCTCAGAACTTTCTCCTCTACAGAGTCTCCAAGAAAACTGCTCTAAATGTCTTCAAGAAAAAGTTAACGCTGTTACTTCTAAATATTATTGTTGCTACTTACAAACCAGGGAAAGCAGAGGCTTCCTTGCCTGCAGTTCCCCCACTGCACAGAGTGGGGCTGGCGTGCCACTGAGGCAGGGCACACGGCTGCTTTATTAGCTGCTGCCTCTTGCACATCATCATCCTGCAGCAGGCAGCCACACACTGATCGCTTTCCAAGCCCCCAGGACAAAGTTCAAACACCATTAATAAATCAACCTGAAAACCTGACTTCTCTGCTTGGCGATGGAGACTCTGGGCCCTAGCAGCAGCAGCCCAGCCCCTTGCTGTGGGCTCACCCTGCAGGCTAGGAGCAGCCCAGGCCCCACCATGGCCACACGGCACAACAACGCCTCTTCCTCCTCCCAGCTGCAGCTCACAGCCCCACACGGCTCTCGGGGTCAGTGACAATCGACATTTTCAAAGCCTGACAACAACAAGTAAAAGTTGTGACTGAACCCCAGTCTCTCCAAGAGGAAGATTGAACGCCTGTGACACATCATCCGCAATCAGAGCGCTCCATTTCCCAAAGTATTTGCCACAGATTGATAACATCCACACACGAAGTTAAGTGCAATTATGTCTGTCACTGCAAAGCACCCTTCAGCAGCGCTGACTGACATCTGCTCGCAGCTGACAAACGGCCACAGCCCGGCGGTGGTGGTGGTGCTCAGCAGCTCCCGAAGGGCCGCACACAGCGCAGGAGCTGCAGCTGCCACGGGAGTCATGGGGCAAAGCAAGAGAAGGTTAGCGCCGGGCTCGCAGGAGCTGATCCAGCTGCAAGTGGACTGGAGAGGAAGGGGACACTGCACAGCAGCCCCCTGCCAGCCCAGGCAGAGCTTGAGCCAGAGACGGTCTGAGCCCTGAGACACTGCTTACATGCTGCTGATGTGTATTCCTGCAGGGCCCGACACGCACACTGCAGTCACTGACTTGCAGGCTGGATGAAACAGAAGCATGCCAAAGGCCAGGTGAATGGCCTGTTACTGGCACCTCTCCTGTGGGAGCACTATCCACTGTACCAAAAATGCAGTCACATGCAGAACTGGCATTATTAGTACTGGAGGCCGCATGCATCACAGTGCGAGGAACTGCGGGTACTCGCACTGAGTGCTCACTGGTGACTTAGGTCAACAGGAACAGCTCCTTAGTAGCAGCTTCCCAGGACAGGAGTCTGCAAAAGGCATTTCTCCAGGCTGTCATTAATGCCAAGGGCCTGTCACAGGATTTGGACAGAAAAAGCAGTAAAGGTAGCTTGAAGCCTTTCAGAACAGCATAGTGCGCCATCCTTGCTGGGATGTGCTGCTGTAGCCATTAGAGACCAGTAAGACAGATGCCTGCAGTATGGAACACCAAGAAGTGGCCAGAAAATAACACATGCAGTCCAGTAAGAATATCAAACAAAGCCTCCCCTTGTGCAGCTCTGATGTGAGCCATAACCCGTCAGCACAGAAAGGAAGCAATGTTCTGCCAAGTAGCAAGCTGCAGAGGTCAAACTTCTGACACAGAACAAAGCTCTGATGAGCCTCCACTGATGGCAATCAGTAACCTGCATCAAGGACCAGCAGAGCAAACACTGTTGGTATAAAAACTAAAACCTCCCACTGTAAGGAGCTCTCCTCAGCAGACATGTTTGCTGTGTAGAAGCTCAGTGCTGTGTTTTTTCATGTTTGGTTTATACATGTTTAGTTTATATTCAGAGTTAACAATTGCTCAGAAGGACTCAAGCACAACATTTTGATTTAAAGTTGTTTTACAAAGCTAGCCAGCAACTGAAGAGAACAGCACAAATACCTGACCAGCCTAAGAGCCGGATCTCCACAGAGCTCCATTCTGCACTGCTCACCACTTTGATCTCAGCACTCACAGTAGCAGAGCAACTCATTGCTGCTCCTGTCAGAATTCATCCACACAGAATAAAATGGCAAACTGGCTACAGCCGTAATCGCATCTCTCTATGGTGATGTAAAAATAAGAGGTTACTTGTGACTACAGTCTTCCACAAACATTAAACTTGAGTAACTTACTACATTGCTGATATAGTATTAGAAAAGGCTTCTCGAGTAGCATGCATGTCCCATAATAATGAAATATTTCCAGGGTGCACCCTTATATATATTTCTATTTCTTAAAAAATATATTGAATAATAAATAATCAGAGTGAAAAACAGACATGAAAGATGCTTTGAATGATCAGGCTGGTGGTGTAAAAGTTATCTCTAAATCACATGGTGGGCATGTGAGCAGAGCTGGCAACAGACAGGTGGTTTTTACTAGGAGGCATTAATGTAACATTCAATTATTCCACTGCATACTGGCTGTTTTAACTCAGCCAAATTAGAATACATTTTATATTGACTATTTTGACATTTGCTTTATTTGGCAAGTAAAACAAAACCGATCCAATTTCCTTGCAGCCATTGTAAACCATAAACTGTACAACAAGAGGTTATAAAATATATAAGCCTTGTAAACACTTCTTTTCAGACTGTTGCTGATGCTCTGAGTCTAATTTTGGCCCTGTTCCCAATAGCTCTGAAGCTGTTCTGCAGCCTTCCCTGTTCGGCTATAAAGTGACCCTTCCACACTTAGTGATTAAGGACTGCCATTGACATTCTCTCTCTATGATAATTATTCTCTTTATTGTGGAAATTTGCCCAGGCAGGAATTTTCTGCAGACAGAAAATGAAGAGCTGTGCTCAAAAATCAGAACATCTCTCCTGATCATGCAAGGCCCTCACCAGCACATAGCTCACGACCAGTGGTGTTTCAAAACAATGCAATAACTCCTGGTAAGACAGGCAAACGTTTCCAGAAGCCTGACGACTCTTCACCTCTTCTGCCTCCATTTCTGTTCAAGAAACACGGAAGCACCTCTGCTTGCACAGCACCTGGCAAGGAAGACAGCAAGCAGGGGGCCGAGGCACAGCACTGAGCAAACCTCTTGGTGAAAAAAGGCGCCCAAACTCTTTGGAGATGTCAGAGGTACCATAAGACAGCAGATTTAAGTCTGGGGTGCAGGTGAGGGCTCTAATATACACATCTGCTTTATAAATATACTCAGTAGGTTTTTCAGGGACAGTTCAAAGCAGTTTAAAAGCATCACTCTCTGCAGTGACTGCGACCTTTGTATACAACTTCACTGGAATTACTCTTTGTTGACTCCTTTGATGTTTCAGCTTTCAACAGTTACCGTCACACTGTAAACATGCTTGCAGTACACCAAATCCTAATGCAAAAATATGTATTTTGCTCTACTAAGCAAAAAACGAAGGGATCTGTAGAAAACATGCTGACCCCTGGCAATGGCTGGGGCAGCAGTGCAGTGTGACCAGACTCACCAGTAGAAGCCTATCTTACATGGCGGTGCTTTCGCATCAAATCTAGGAGTGTAAAATCACTCAGTTTAACATCTGTCTAGGTTGGTTTGTTGCTTAACAACACTTTTCTCCAGAGAAATGCAGCAAGTAAGCTGTCATTATGGGACTGCTATTATACCTTAAGTATACTTGTGCATACATCAGTACACACACAGATACCATACAACAGGGCAAACAACCCGGACAGACACCATGCCAGTGCCTGCCCAACACTGCTGCTCTTGTCGTTCACTGCAAAGTGAACAGTCTGCTCTGCATACACAATGCCAACTGAAAACCCGAAGCATAGTGGGATGGGTCCAAGAAACAGCAAAAAAAGCACTATTACTTCAAAGCATGAGTGGATTTTAATTTTGAAGAACGAGCAGAACTTGTCTCCCTACCCATTACAGATTGTATGCATACTTCTCCTCTTTCGTCAAGGAGACAAATCAGCTTGACTACAGTTCTGGCCCACCCTCCAGGGTAACTCACATGTAGACTGAAACTACAAAACATACCACACAGTTATTCATACTGAGGCAGTGCCCCTGGTCTTGATTCCACCATGCCACACTGCACAAAGCAGAAAGAGCTGGAAAGCAGAAAACTCACCTTGGCAGGTTGGGAGCTGGTGCTGGAGATGGAGCTTGGGAAGGAGCAGCAGGCTGTGAAGATTCATGGTTGCGGGGAACTCTGCCCATCCGATACCAAATGCCCATGCTGTTCAACTCCCTGGGTAGTCAACACAGAAGACATCAATGCCACATACGCACACAACTATCAACAGGTAAATTTCATAAACAGCTCTGCCAAGTTCTTACCAAGAACTAGTTTTATTGAAAAAATAGCAGCAAAATCATAGAATCACCAAGGCTAGAAAAGACCTACAAGATCATCCAGTCTAACCATCCACCTGCCACCAATAGTACTCACCAAATCATGTCCTTCAATATAACGTCTAAACGTTCCTCCAGGTTCAGTGACTCCAGGTTTACTAGTTTCCACATCACAATCAGTAACACTTGTAATCACACAGACCTTTCCAGTTCTTACAAACACCCACTAGTTAATTACAGGAAGACAAGGCACTCAGCCTTGCTACATCTGAAAATACGGGCTTCAGGAGTAGTGCTACTTACCCTATGAACGTGTACTGAGGAGGGGCTTGCTTTGATCTCCCCAGGATTCGGATATCACAGATGGCTGCCTCTGTAGAATCTCGAGGGATAAACTTAATGCACAGCCTCTTCTTTCTGAAAGCTATTTCTTCTGCAAAAACAATCCAGAACAGAGGTGTTTGTTTTTGGTTGTTTTTTTTTTTTTTTTTTTGTTTGTTTGTTTGTTTTTTAATGCAAGATTGGGATATAAATGTTATTTATTGTCTCTCCAGATATTAGGCAGATAATCATGGCAGGAAATGGAGCCAAAAACCAGATACATGTCAGCACACCAGTCAGTACAGTGCCATTTGATGACTAAGGAAATCTTCTATCAGGAACTCTCTGTATACAGTGTGAGATTTGTTACTGGGCACTGTGATAAACCAACACTTCCTACTTCCCTCTGCAGAGAAGACAAGACATCACACATAGGATAGCACTGCACCCACAAAAGAAGTGGCAAGTGGTTTTTATACTTCCCTATACTAAGCCCAGGCTAGATGGGACTCCAGGCACTCTGATCCACTGGGTGGGAACCAGCTCACGGCAGGGGGTTGGAACTGGGTGATCTTTATGGTCCTTTCCAACCAAAGCCATTCTATGATATAATTCTCATATTCAGTTCCTCTTTCTGAGGTAGCATTTGACTCAGCAGACTCGGTATCTGCTGAAGCAACCAGGCAGTTTGTTCTGTCAAGTGCTTCCAGACAGCCAATCAAACTGCACTGAGGAGGAGCAGGAAACATGCTGCCATGTAGAGTAGTTAGTAAAAAACCTCACCTATCCAACTCTCACACATTTCAAGTGCTAACAACCTGTCCTGACTGTCAGTTAGCACTGAAGTGATACTCCCACTGCAAATGCTGTGGCATCTTTGTAGGGTTAAAATCAGATTTACAAAGCAGTAACTGCTGGGGCCCCAACAGGAGAACTGGGCTGAGCCATATTCAAAGGATAGAAGCATCTCCTGCACAGCCCTTCCATATGCTGCATCACAGGGAAATTTCACTTGTTTCCATGTTATCCACTATGAATAAGTCAAGCCCATCAAAGTTAAGGCTTATCTGTAGCTTGACTTGATGTATAATAAGGCTGCTGTCTGTCTGCATGCAGATAATCCACATCCAGTTACGGGTCAGTCACAGGATAATACATGGTTCTGGTACACAGATACAGATCTGCTCCACCTCTTCCTAAATGATCTGCAGGGCTCAATGTCAGCAAGGTGAGGTATCCATTTGTGCAGACACTTAAAAGACATGACAGAAGTTTACAGATAAAGTGAAAAATGGAAAGTGCACACAATGAATGAAAAATCTGAAAGCACCTGGAAATAAAACCTTTCCAATTTAATATGAATAAATATCCTCCAGTATAAAAATATGCCCTCGCTTCACCAGATGGCAAGCAGTCCTATCTCGTAGGCTCCTCCTGTTTCATAATCTGTATCTCAGAGAAAGCAATCCATCCTGGCCTTGGAAACCTGCCGTCCAGTACCAACAAGTGTACAGGCAGTGAGGTGTGTCGCAGTACAGCAGCTGTGCACTCACCCTTGCGTTCACAGTGCTGCCTTTTATAGACGTTTGATACCTATATCCCTAAATTCTAGTCCACTCCTGCTTTGGAAAAGTGAGGCCTTTATTTGGCATGTCTGAAAATGATTTTAGGATACTGTTTCAGGGTTTAAGGCTTTCACATCTGAAAATTTTGTCAAGACCACTAAGGAATGTTCTACGTATTTACTGTAAGTCAAGCGTCCCTTAGAGGAGAATACAGAAACTCACATAACCAAAACACTCAGTTTTAAACAAAACTCATGCCTCTTATTTGACTTTCACAGCAAGTACAGAGCCGAATGTTTGCTTTCATCTTCAATCTCTTCCACACTTGGCTAGAGTCTGCAGCAAACTTGGTTTAGGAGCAGAATCCATTAATTACTCATGCTTAACCTGAGTTAATTTTAAGTAAACATATTATAAACAGTCAATCGAAATGTGTTCAGTCATGCTAATGGAGACAGGGATATGCACCACTTCATTAATACAGACAGTGCCTCTATACGGGCTGCAAATCCAATGCATTTTAAATTAAGGACAAATTCTCCTCTCACCTTTCTACCAGCACTGCTACAAACGCTGCACCAGCAGCTGACAACTACCCCACACTGCAGGGGTGCACATTGTTGGGGAATTCTCCAGGGAAGGGGGACGGGTCAGGCACCCAGTACCAGGTTGCAGAACTTTTCACTTCTAGGTTACGTGTTCAAATCAGAACCAGTTCAGCAGGGACTAAAAAAGTCATAATTTGCTGCAGACCTGAATGAATGACTCCCTGCAGAGCAGGTTCACATGCCTCCTTTCTGTCTATAACAGGTCTGGATCTCATTACTGACATGGACAGGTGCCAGCAACGTGCACCCTGTGTAGTCACACCCTGTGCCCTGCAACCCTTTCAGCCATCTGCCCTGGGCTGCTCCCCTGGTCCCTTTGCACTGGAAGCAAGGAGCACTCGGTGCCTGCTGCAGGCCAGGCTGTCTCAACCCAGCACAGCGTCAGTGGCTGCCACGAGGCTCAGGGAACAGAACACTGCTTAGGAACTGCTCTCTTAAACACTGTGAGACACTCTCTAATGCCTTACAGAAGTGAGGACAGCATTTTTCCTGGCTTCTCTCAACAAGCTCAAACATCTCAGCAGTCTGTGCTGAGGCCTGCGCCTGTGTTTGTGCAGGTGGTACAAAGCTGCGTGTGCATGAGCACAGCACTGTGCACAAACCTGTGCTTTCAGCACATGCCTGTGAATATCCCCCAGCATGGCAGCTCTGCCTTTTACTGGCCCAGTCCAACCCTGCAAGATGGAAGGACAAGTTCTTCCTTTCCACTCATGCAAGCAGGCCAATGGCAGTCAGGCAGTATTAATGAGTCTGGAGAATACAGGAAGAGCTACCCTGAAATGTTCCTGTGCCACACAGAGCAGACATGCCTCTGCCCAGGACATGGCCTGCCAACTGTGCAGGCACCAGAGCATGGGACTGAAGAAACAGCCTCAACTTACGTGTGTCAACAGTCTCTTGAATGGGGATGAAGCCCACAGGTAAGGTGTCCTTGATGTCAATGAGCTTCATGTCAACCAAGACGTTTCCCAAGTGACTCTGAAGAGAGAAAAGAAACAGTTCATCAGGTAACCTTAGTGCTCTCACTGCTTCTAAAAGAGCAACACAACACTTCTGTGACAACAATGGCAGAAGGCATTACAAGAAGATGGTTCACGCAGACACAGCCAAAGTTATTACATGCATTAGCTAATTAGTACTGAATAAAGACAGTTCTAGCTCCAAACAAAGCTGTGCTCCAGAAAAGCAGGCCATCTGGAACAAAGAACTTCAGTTGAGTCCATATCAATTCTGAACTGATGCCTTGTCCTATTAATCAAGGCTTGAAGAGCTAAAAACACAATTCAGAATGACAACCTCCACAATTGAGACCAGATTTTCTTTGCAGTTCTCATTAAAGCCAACACTGCTGCCAGCAATCTACACTCATGTATGTAAGAAAAAACCTCTATACTTTAGTTAGTATGCAGCCTTTATAAACATGAAGACAATATAAAATTTCATCCTAAGCCACCTTCTGCACCTTCTGTTCAGCTTGGACGGAGGAGCAGCCCCAGGAGGGAATCCCTGCAGGTGTGAGCAGGCTGACCACCCTCAGGAAATGGGGCCTCCAAAGACAGGAGCTCCTCGCCAGCCATCAGGCGTGGGAGCACGGCTCAGTGCAGCAGCTGCCCAGCGGTGCCCCAGCAGGCTGCCTCTCAGCCCCAGCGCAGGGCGCAGTGCTGTGCTGCTCCTCGCACCTCCGTCTGCTGCACAGCTGAGACCCCCGCAGCCCTCCTGCTACATTTGCTTTAATTCATTCCTCATAAATATGAGGAATGTATTCCCAAACCATGCTGAGCAGATGAATCATGCCAAAGCCCAACAGACACTGACTGAGGGGATTTACACTGCCTCCGATAGCCAGTAGTTGCTACTATCCTGTAATTATTTCTGACAACCTTGCATTTAAGGTAGCCACAGATAAACTTAATACCAAATAATCACAAATCTTTTGGTTTAGTATCCTCCCTACCTATTCTGGGCTATCATTCTTGCTACTGCAGCTACTCAAGGATGTATTGCACAATTATTGTCTGTTGACCCCAGGAAGCATAGCTCTGGAGCTTTGTTTTAATCCGGAGGACAGAAGGAAAGTGAATGGAATAAAGGTCAAAAGCTGGGAATTGACAGGCCCTTGGTTTTCATTTCAAGATCTGTGATCAATCTCCAAACTCACAGTTGCTTTTCTGTTGTTGGGAAAGGCTCAAGTACAAAATGATACCACTACACCCTTGAGAATCCAGTCCCTGAGAATATCTAAAAGACCAAGAAAAGCAGAATTACCCACTAGATGGAGTGCATTCATTGTCGAACTGAACAGTTCCTCCTGGAAAAGAGAAAGTTTTCACACTACCCTCAGCTGAAAAATTAAGTGAAGACAGCAGAAAGCATCAGGCTCTCACTGCATATGGCCTCCTCCCTTCCACAGGAGATGTGAGCACACAGCTGCCACCAATCAACAATAAGCCGTGTTTCACAGCCACACTGGAAGATTACAAGTATAGGGCAGTGTATGCACAGTGTGGGCAAATTTTTAAGAATTGGCACAAGAAAAAAAAGGAAGAAAACTTGTATGGTGCCCCTGGATTCAGCAACTAGCGTTTACTTTGCTGCTATTACATAATTCACCAAGTGATCAGAGCTAGAGGTTCATCATCTGAACCATCATCAGGGGAAATTCTTTACAGAGCGAGTGGTGAGGTGCTGGACCAGCTGCCCAGAGAGGTTGTGGATGCCCCGTCCATCCCTGGATGGACGTTCAAGGCCAGGTTGGATGGGGCCCTGGGCAGCCTGAGCTGGTATTAAATGGGGAGGTTGGTGGCCCTGCGTGTGGCAGGGGGGTTGAAGATTCGTGATCCTTGCGGTCCCTTCCATCCCTGGCCATTCTGTGATTCTGTGATCATCATTTGGAACATGCAGCTCCCATTTTAAGAAGAGAAAATGCTCGTGGAAGGGAGCTGCTGAAATGCAAACATGCACTTTTCTGCCACCTTTATTACAGATTTTGCCAATTATTTCCTTCCCCAAAGAACACAGACAAAACACAAATATCTGGCCATTGCAGTTTGCCTTCTTGGTCACCCCAGTTCAGCTAAACACTCGCTTAAATTATAATTGGCTCCACAACCGTAATCATTGTATAGGTAAGAACACACCAGGCACAAATGCAAATCATGCAGACACTCAGCAAAAGGACTTACATTTTCTTTTGAAAATGATCTTGTGAAGCACAGGTATCGTGTGACCTTGGATTTAAACAGGCCATCCTTCCAGAGGTCAGCATCCAGGCCATCTGCTGTTTGTGCAACCTGGAAAGAAGAAACAGAGGGATAGAGGAGATATGTAAGCCAAGATAACATTAATATGTGTGCAGTACTTCTTTCTCAGACCCTTTCTAATTAACGGTAGCCCAAACTCTCACAGCATCTCATTAGTTTCTTCAGAAGGTGCAGTGCAGAGAACTTCCAAGCAGAGGTATGATAAAGTTCTAAAAATGCTGTCTCTGGAGAGTGCAGTGATTAAAGATGCTCTGACAAAAGCTATTCTAATGAGAAAACAGCAACTCTGGTGTAGTCTCCAAACAATTGTTTGGACAAGTCAGCATACTGAGGCATTCACTACACTATACACACACTGTGCAAGCTGCAAGGAGGGGTCCATTCTGACAAAGCACTGGAGAGCTATCCGCAAAGTGACAGCTCCAAGGCTGCCCACAGCCATGGCCACTTCTGACAGGACGAAGCTGGAAGAACAGCACTCCTGCAAAAATCGTTGTCTTTCCTTGTGATTTTACACGATTTCAACCAGATTAAAGCATTGCATCAAATGAGTTGTGGAGCTGTGACAGCAATTGCATTCAGTACAATCAGTAGGAAAATGGAGGGTGGGGGAAACACCACAGGTTCTGCACGGAAGAGACAAATGCACAAGGAAGGCAGGCAGCAGCAGATGTCATTTGCGGTGGCTCGGGGCACGGCACAAGGGGCACTGGGGCCAGAGCAGGGCTGTGCCAGCAGCTGGGGGCAGAAAGCCCTGCCCAGAGGGCACGCTTGCTAAGCAGAGGGGGCAGCAAACATGTCGTACACTCCCCTACCACCCCACTGACAGCTCCCACAAGGAGTCCAACAGGACAGTAAGCACGGCAGAACCACCCAGTGCCTTTCAGGAAGGAACAAACTTCCCCTCTGCTGTTTCTTAAGCCATGATCACAATGAACTAAGTGAGACCTTGACCCCTGCGCAGCCTGATGACATAGAAGCTGGTATCTTTTGGTACTGTCTGCATCCACATTTTGTAGGGCAGAGGCTCTGTGCAGAGTGCAGGAGGCAAGGTGCATGCTGAGCCCCCCATTATCCAAAGAGGAGGAGAAAAATGCGTGTCTAACACAAAGGCAACAAAGTGAATAGGTTGCTTCACATTTCAGCATCTTCTGCTCACAAATCCCTGATGAGCTCATTCCTAGGAACAGGACATGGGAACAGCTCCCATTGCGGGCTGTGAGCCGCCACCAGTGCCTGCCCAGAGCAGCAGAGCCCAGCAGTGTCCCACACTGACTGAGTGATAAAAAAAAGCCCTCAAAAAGAAACAATAAAAAAACAGCAAAGCTGCACCACAAACCCTTTTAGGGAAGCACCCTGCAATTCTAACTCCACAGTTACCACATGCAGCAGCTGAAACCAGTTTACCAGCGAGTCATCAAGAGAAGCACGTGGCCCATCAGCCCCCACTTCCCTCCTGCACTGCCTTGATGCCCCATTGCCCCACACAGCCCAACCGCTTCCACAGCGCTGCAGAACTGTGAGCAGGACACCAACACAGGGGGGTCCAGGTCTTACTGGCACCCAGTGCCCACGGGCAGGGCAAGCCAAGAGAACCCTTCTTGTTTCTACTGAAATGCGGCAGTTGCAGGCACCATCCCCAGCAATTAATCCTGAGTGCTGAGGCTTCACATCGTCCTGCTGAATCCTTTTTCTAAGCTTAGATGTAAGCATGCATTAACTTGTCAGAAAACCCATGGGGAAAAAAAAACAGAGTAACATAAATGAGGAAGTTCTTGCATCATCTTCTGGGCACCAGCAGCTGGGGAGGATCCCCAGCGCCTTGGAGTGGAGCTGCACCCAAGCAGCACCGTGCATGAGGGCATGGCCGTGGGGGCTGCACTGAGGGGAAGGGACGAGGAAGGGCTGTGGCCCCAGGCAGCCCCAGCCGTGTCCTCCTACCCAGGGTGAACACGGGGGACAAGAGCAGATGCCTGGTAATGGGTGCCAGCACATCCACCTTGACCTTACCAAGGGGTCAGAGGCATGGGTCAGCTCAACTGCTCTTCATGCCTTCCCACTCCAGAATGCACTGAAACCCAACAGGAGAGGATTCCCACTCACAGCTCTATAGACACCCAGAGAGGCAGCAGAAAAGCACAGTCTGCACTGCTTGCAGCCTGTGCCATGCTGCAAAGCTCCCCACTCACCCTTCCTGCCCAACTCTGCACTCAGCAGTGCCAGCTGGGGTGGATTTTCAGGAATCTGAGTTCAGGCACACTCTGTATGTTTTGGCAAAATGCATTCTTTAGTGCTCCAGCTACTAAAAGATCTGGCCAAAGCACCAGTAGCTGTTTCCTAAGCAGACTGAAAGGGAAATGAGTTGTTTGAATAATTAAGAAAACTACTGAAAGAAAAAAAAAACTAAAAGATGAAAAAAAAAACCAAACCCTCAGATCCCCCCAGTCCTTGCCACCCCTGCCTGGGCAGGCAGCACCCCAGGGCCCAGCCGCAGCCCCAGGCACTGCCCTGCACAGGGCAGAAGGGAGGGAAGTAGCGCAGTAATGGCTGCGTGTTGTGGAAAGTGCACAGATGAAAGGAAAACTAGATAAAGCCTACATATAATGCATCTGGCTCAGAAAAAAAGAACTGGTTATTATGCCATCACAGAATTCAAACCCACCAACAAAACGACACAATGCCCAATTCATTACTGCTAAGAGGAAAAGCATTCCCACAGCTCTGAGCCCGCTGTTGGAATAGAGTGCTACAGGATGCTGCGGCAAGGGGCAAAGAGATGGCATCCCCCAGGGAGCTGCAAGACCTTCCCAAAGCTACCTGCGGTCAGGGCGTGCTTGGCTTCCTGCTTTAAGACACTACAGCCTGGATTCTGGAGTTTGAGGGAAGTGCTGCCCTGAGTGCATCCATCCATGCTGGATAAGGCCACACAACCGCACGTACTGCATAGTGGGACACCAGCTGTGATCCGTGCAGAGCTACCTGCTGCATGCACAGAACATGGGCAGAGCTGCTGCAGGCAGCAGACACCTCAGAGCCTACAGCAGAAGCTGTTGGCCCCAGGGTCAGAGGAGAGCTCCTTGTAAACACAAAGTGAGACAAAAATCAGAAGCAACACAGACTCCTCCCCATGCCCCCTAGGAGAGAGCGACCCACATTCTCAAGCACTATTGCAACACCACTATAATCCGATTAAGCCTCAGGAAGAATCTTTTATCTTGTTTAGTTTAAACAGTGTTGGGGCTGCAGCCCCCATTAAACTCCACACACGCTATCTGGGGCAAGTGAGGTCTCTGCCTGGTCATTTAGGCAGAACGCTATTCTGTTACCGTGTCTCTCACACTGCCCCATGCTCCTTTATCAGGGCAAGCAGCTAATTACACAGCCTGGCTCACACAGGCAATCAGTGCTCAGAAAAATGCAGTAAATGCAAAAAAACTTCTGCCTTTCAGAAGCCTTTTCACAATTCCCCCCTCCTTACTGCAGCCCGACCCATTTCCTTCCTTCTCACACAGCAGCACAGGGCACACTGCAACCCAGGGCTGTGAGGACGTGAGCTACACGAGCTGTGTGACACTGAAACCCAAGATGCAATGCAGCATAGCTGGAGCAGGACGCACAGAAAGATGAGCTATAGGCCAAACCTTCCCTACACTGCTCTGCAAAGTCAGTACTTCGTGATGTTCTGCTGCCTAGGACACTCATCTATAGGCAAATAAAATCACCCTGTTGGTTATACAGCAACTAATCCAGGGAACAAGCAGCTGTTAAACAATGACCTCCATCTATCCATTCACATATTCATCTCCACTGGATCCAGCTGCCTTTTCCTGCCGCCCAGCCTCCTGCCAAAGCTTAATTTAGAGGTTTGCATTCTGTCCATCAAAATCGCCCTCGCAATTTCAGCTGGTTGTGAAATTCTTTGCTTCCCAATCTGGAGCTTCTCATCATTATTATGCTGTGCTGATATGTGGGATTAAACAGCTGATGCGGGATCCATTTATTTGGAGATGTAATTTGTGCGATACTTAGGAATCCTTCAGGATGGCAGTTACTAGGATTATTAAATTTGCATGCCACAGCAGCCAGCTGTTTCTCAGAGCCCCTCCTCCAGGTAATTATGCTCTGGAGGAGAAGCACATACAAAGTTGCACAACTGCACCCACAGACCTCCATCCAGGGAAAGCACTGCTGAGCGCCCTGGGCTGCAAGGTGGGCATGCAGACACCAAATTACTTCTTACAACATGTCTGATGGCAAATCCTGGCTGGAAGAGATACTATTCCAAGCAGAGTAAAGTTTCATTAGTGCATTTGCAACAGCAGCTGAACTAGCTCTACTTACTACATCATAGCCTGTCGGCGCGCGGCTCCGGGACGCAACCACGCCAACCCCTGTGATGGGATCCATTGGCACATCAGGCAAGGCATCGGAGAGATCTCGCACTTCAGGCATTGCGGACTGATCCTGAAAGAAAGCAGCAGAGTTAAGGGGCTGCTTGAGAGCATGCACTCCCTAGAGTAACAGAGCACTGGAAGCCCACATGCATGCCACAGCGCCTGTGCCCGAAAACCATGGGCTGCCAAGTCAAATGCAGGATCAGGCAGACACACCTTCTGTGCTTTCGTTTGTTTATGATAAGATGACACGCTTGTGCAATGCCCAACTGGTTTGGAATTTGGGTCAGCAGCCACTTCTGAGATTAATCTTATCACTTCCAGGATATTTTGCATGGGCTGGTCTCCATCTAGCAACGATGGGAAAACCCAAGCTCATCCCTTCCCTCCCAAATAAGAACAAATTCCATCCTTGACTCAGGCTGGCTGAAGCTGCTCTACTATTTTAAGCAGCAAGAAATCCGCTCCCCATGGCTTCAGCATAAGGCTCCCACCCACGACAGGCACTGGGCACGATGAGGGCTCTTGCGAGGCTTCATCCCCACCACACCCCCCTGAACCAAGCCACGGCCGCATAGCAGCACAAATGTGTCTGTATGCGAAATTGTGCCCGTGGCAGAGTGCCTGAGCGCCAGGGGAACACAGATGAAGCAGCACAGGATGGTCTGATGCAAAGCAGACAGAGGCCTTCAAGGAGCCCGAGCATCTCCCATGAGCAAGGCAGAACAGCACCAAATACTTTGGGGTAGAGGACGACACAAAGAGGGAGAGAAGCAGGTGAAACCAACCCATTTGGAGAAATGCTGTTGCTGGAAGCAGGAGGAGAGGAGAGCTGTCCAAAGAGCTCATGGGAGAGGAGAGGTGCCTCTGCCTTGGCACATCCTCCTGCAGCGGCAGCAGGGCAGGGCCCTTGGCTTGGGCAGGACTGCCCCAGACCCCCCAGCACTGCAGATCCAACAGCAGCACCTGGCACAAGCGCTGCTGTAGGCGGGCAGGCAGACAAACTGCAGGCAGGGTCTCCTCAGGGGGACCAAGCCCAGCACTAAGGCTGCAGAGATGGCAGGTTACTTACTGCTTCTAAAAAGGCAGAGGTGAGTGCTGGTGCCAGCAGGACCAGGGTTACACTTCACAATGCCCAGTCTGAACCAACACGGTGCTGCAGGCAACAAAAAAGAGCAAATCTGGGGCCTATGTAAATAACAACGCCACACAAACAACCAAACCAGACTGCCTAAAGCCTACAAAGCAGCGGGAGCAAGCATGTGGTAAAAAGACCACCACCAACAGAGCTCTACCCCAGCACCTGGGTGAGCACCCAGCACACGCACCAACACACACTCGGTCAGGGCTCACACGAAGCCTCCTGCTGGTGGTGCCACCAGCCAGCATGGCACCCTGCAGGATGGCACCCGGCTGACCCCAGCTGTGCGGCACGGCAGGGCAGCTCTCACCCGCGGGGCACTGGGATGCAGCTGGAGCTGGCGCAGAGCAGCAGGAACCGGCCTGCGTGCTTGGTAAATGTTTTTCTGAACTCGGAAGAGCAGAGCTTCGGGCTGATGCAGACCATGAGTTACAATTCAGCTCCCCCTCGGGCACCTGCAAAGTTTAGTTTCTTTGCTATCACACCTTTGAACTTAAAAATAAAAAACAAACAGTGAAAAAGCAGATTAAATTAAAGAACAAGATTCTATAAATACATCCATTAGATAGCTTGTTGTTTTAGGGAAGTTCTCTTCAAACACCACAGCGCTGACCTGCCTGCAGTGTGGCAGTGCCTGAGGACTCAGCTGACAACCAAGGACAGCCCAGAGCTCCCCAGAGCCCCACCACCCCCCTGCAGGGTAAATCTGGGCACAGCCCCAAAAACAAGCACCGCATTTTTTGCACTGCTCAAAGCACATTCCCTGGAGGCTGTTCCCAGCAGCAGGGCACTTCCTGCTCCCAGCCTGGGGAAGCCGGACGCAGTCCTGGGCAGGAAGAGGCCCTGCTCGGGCCCACTCACCGAGTGCAGTACTGGCCCGGGGCACAGAGAGATTCCCACTCTGAAGCGGCCTCAGGAACATCAGAAGCTGACCATCCTGAAAAGCAGCAAAACCACCCCCAGTCCCTCAGCAGCAAAGCTTCAACCATGGCTCCAAGGGCAGCCCACATCAGGCAGGCTCCACGTGGGTCAGTCACCCCAGCTCCCTGCATTCTGTGTGCAAGGACGCTCCACTCCACACAGAACAGCCACAGAACAAAGACTGCAGCACGCACCAGTGGCGGCTTCCTGCCCAGCCCCACAGGCACAGCATCATATCATACAAGAAGTCCCCAGCACAGTGCTCAGAGCCAGGCCTCACCGTGCCGCAGCCCCTGAGCTCTCCCTTTACATCTACTTTGTGCTCTCTCTCAACTGTTTCCTTGCTTGCTCATCTCTGATGATCCCAGGCACACTTTCCTGCTGGCATCACTATCTGCTTGGAGTGGAGCACTGTGCCCTGATGACACAACCGCCCGCACTGCTGCGTCACAGTGGGGACACACACACAGCAGTACAGCTCCAGAAATCCACACATTACACTGAGCTCACAGAGTGCTCTCCTTCTCCGTGCTCTTTTTCAAGAAGCAAGACCAAGAGTGGGTGGCAGATGAGTAGCCAGTGCCTGATGTATGTGCTGTAGAAGCCTCAAAATGCAGGGAGCCAGGCCAGATTCTGAGGCTAAATGGAGTTGGGAGAAAGAAGAGCATCATTGTTCTTCTCGCAACTGTAAGCCCTGTGCTTTGGCACCAACCTGCTCGTCCTACAGAGAAGAACATCACAGAATGGAGACCTTAAAGATCATCTAGTTCCAACTCTCCTGCCATGGGCAGGGTTGCCAACCATTAGATCAGACTGCACAGGATCCTATCCACCTTGGCCTCGAATGCTCCCAGAGGTGGAGCATCTATAACCTTTCTAAGCAAACTGTTCCAGAAGCTCACTGAATAAAAACATTCTTTCCTAACATCTAACCTAAACCTATCTTAAGATTTAAAGGCCATCCCCCTTGTCCTGTCATGATCAGACTGGAAAAAGTTGGTGAGATCGCAATGAAGTCTCCCTGGAGCCTTCCCTTCTCAAAGCTAAACAAGCCCAACTTCCTCAACCCATCATCACAGGAGAGGTACCCCAGCCCTCTGATCGTCTCTGTGGCTCTCCTTTGGACTCACTTCAACAGCTCTGCATCCCTCCTGTACGGAGGGTCACAGGCCTGGACGCAGTGCTCCAGATGGGGCCTCACAAGGGCAGAGCAGAGGGGGACAATCACCCCCTTTACTCAACTGCCACCCCTCTGCTGATGCAGCTCAGGATACTGCTGGCCTTCTGGGCTGCACACACACACTGCTGGCTCATGTCAGCTTTTAATCCTCCAGAACCGCAACTCCTCCTCCACAGGGCTGCTCTCGAGGAGTTTTTCTCTCAGTCAGTACTCATATCTGGGATTGCCCTGACTCAAGTGCAACACCTTGCACTTGGCCTGTCCCTCTGGATGGCATCCCTCCCCTCTATTGTGTCAACTGCACAAGTCAGCTTGCTGGCATCAAAAGCATGGGCTAAGGCAAAACTGGAACAAACAAACACCAACTACCTCAGTATGTTCCTGTACTGTGCAGGAGACATCCCACCAAATCAGAGCAGCTGCTGCTGGAAACTCATCTACACAGGTTGGTTCTGCTCCATCACTCTGATCTCAAGTCACAGCATGGCTGTTTGCACACACTACTGATATTTGGGTCAAAAAAAGTAGGAGCCAATGGCAGAGCACATGACTAGGGACCTGGACACACATTAGTCACAAGCAGACACAGATTCAGGGTCATCTTTCACCCAAACAAAGGTTCATCAAGAGTCACCTGCAACTCCCATTCTCCACACAGCTGTCCCTGCACCAGCTGCTAGAGCCCCATTAGCTGTGATGGACCTGAATGGAACAGAAGTCTGGGACGGAGCAAAACGGAGCTCTCGAGTTGCTGCGCAGCAGTTCTAACTGGGGACACCCATTTGTGAGGTATCCTATTTCAACCCAAAATAGATTTCCACACACACAGATGACCTTCCCCAGGGTTCCAGTGACACTTGGGTCATTTATTTCCATCTCTGCACCTGGGGGCTGCAAGGCCTGAAGCCTGGGACTCACTCAGAGAAGCACATCATGAACCAGAACGTTCTGTATTTATCTTACACCTTCAAGAGCTCAAACCGAGGCTTCACCTCAGAACATCTCAAGGCTAAGGCTGCCTCAGCCAGGAGCTGCAGGAACAACATCGAAGCACAAAGAGGGGCACAGCAATGCCTGATAAACACAGGACGGACATACACGGCTGTCGGCCCCGGCAGCGAACACCTCCTAGGACCCTACGCTATCATAACCCAGCTGTGACTGTCCCAGCTCGGAGGACGCACGGGAGGGGGTGAAGCTCAGAGGGTCCCTGTGACCCTTCCTGGGCACTACAGAGAGACGCTGAGTGCTGGGAATGTGGGAGGGGAGCAAACGGAGCGTGGGCAGCTCAGCACCCCGTCCCGGCTGGGATGGCAAAGAGACACCGCACGCCGATCACCTCCAGCTGTGCAGAAACCTCTGCGAACAGGTGAAAAAAAACAATAACGGTCAAACAAACCCGCGCCGTAAATGCTCGCACAAAAGACCACATAACGCAGCGCCGTTGCAATTCTCTCTAACCAGCCGAGAACAAAATTCGCAGCGAACTCCCCAACACACCGGGGCCGGCGTCCCGCCCGCAGCCCCGCTCCGCGCAGCAGCCCGGCTCCGGCCGAGCCTCGGAGCAGGCCGCGCCCGGCGCCCAGCAGCACGGCGGCGTCCCGCGGGCCCGGCCCCGCGCGGGGGGCGCCGCGGCCACGGTTCCGGCCTCCGCCCAGGGCCGCGCCTCTCAGGGGGCCGCGGGCGGCTCCGCTCCCCCGTGCCCCGGCCCGGCCTCGCGCGGAGCCGCGAGCGCTCAGCA